AGAGTTTACATGAACATGATAAACAACGCGAAGCAACGGGTCCGAAATAAAAAAAATCCTTATTGCAAAAAAACAATTAAATCACTTGCTTGGGATTCAACATAAAAAAACAATATTTTTTTCCAATTTTGATTATTTTAAATATTTTTTATTTATAGGTACATTTGTTTTTTTTTTAATTTTATTTTTGACCACTGTTCCAGTATTGGAACATACTGTTTTATTTTTTTATTATAATTAAAAAATATAAATACAAAATTTTTTATTTGTTTTATAAAAAGCGTTTTATTTACCCAATTTTCAAATACTCCCCAAAATTTTTTTTATTTATAGGTACATTTGTTTTTTTTTTTTAATTTTATTTTTGACCACTGTTCCAGTATTGGAACATACGGTTTTATTTTTTTATTATAATTAAAAAATATAAATACAAAATTTTTTATTTGTTTTATAAAAAGCGTTTTATTTACCCAATTTTCAAATACTCCCCAAAAAATTAATAGATAGATTAATAGATTTTAATATAAATGAGAAAAAGAGTAATATTCTTTCAAATATAATAATAATATTTACTTTGGATTTGTCCAAATATTTACCAATATTTGGTCAATTTTTCAAAAGCCTAATTGCCCAAATAAACATCAAAAATTTGTCATCGTTTTTTCATGCCCAAACATTCCCAAAATTAAACCAACGGTAACCTACCTAATTTATCCAAACTGCTTTGGCATATTATTGGGCACAATTTGGTTATTTATTGTTGGCCATCGCGATTGCACAAATACCATAGGAATATACAGTCCTACATAGTACATTTATTGGCAAAACTTTTCCAAAGGTAATGGGCAATTCTTGGCCATGTTTTAACCTGATATGGCTCTCTGTGTACCACTGAGTTGATCATAAGCCATCGTTGTATCACATTCAGGAATATGTCGACTAGTATCTACTCTAATATTATGTATTTAAATAGTTTATCTTTAATAATAGTAATAATAAGCAAATAGTAAACGCCGACGGTGGTCCAGTGGTTAGTGCTGCTGACTACAAGCCGGAGGTCGTGGGTTCGAATCCCACCATGGCTGTTTATTTGTGTTGTCCTATTGTGTAATAGGGCTTCGGAGGGGACTTTAAGCCCGCGGTCCGTTCCTACCCCTAACCCTCACAAGCCATTCAGTTGGCTTATGGGACTTCTTAAGAAGTAAAGGTGGAACTAAAAGAGCACTATAAATATAGTTATACCACTCAATTGATCATAAGCCATCGTTGTATCACATTCAGGAATATATTAACTAGTATCTATAAAAATATTATATATTTAAATAGTTTATCTTTAATAATGGTAATAATAACAAATGTTTATAATTGTATCAATTTGTCAGATAAGATAAAATAAATAAAAGGCTTATTTATACAAGTCCTAGGTTCTTACATACAATAGTTTCAACCTATAAATACAAAATAGCTGATATTAGTCAATTAAAATAGTGATGATTGGATAACCGAGTTTAAACCTCAATAGTAATATGAAATTATTATAAACAGCTAAAAATGGAATAAAGCTTAACAACGATCTTGGTTAGTTAATTGAAATGATTGAAATAAAATTTATATCTTACCTTTTATGTTTATATTCAAAATATCTTTTTATCTTTTAAATTTCTACTCTCAAACCCTGATAGTTTTTCCGCCTACTAAAAATCAACAACCCAAAAACCTTCCCTTAGAAACGAGGCTATGATGCCCGGTCTCTCCACAAAAACCTCGTTGTCAATACAATTTAATCATAACCAAACGAATAAACTTTCAACATAAGGTAATTTGACTCTATATACATTAACTTAAATTTAAGTGTTTGACAACAGCTGACAGCTATGTTTTTATAACCCTATTATTTTACTGTCAAATTTTACTTTTATCAAGTACGAATAGTTAGTTGTCGCTTTTTCTTACGAGTATCAAAGGTCGGGCCACCACAGTACAAATAGAGGCACAAATAAAATATACAATATGCAATAAAATAAAATTGTATAAAATATAAATAAAATACAATAAAATAATAAATAGGAGAGAGATTTTTATCATATATACATAGTAACGTTAAAGTCATTATCAAATATTCCAAATAAAGCGCTAAGATAAGCAGTTTAAATCAAAGTCTCTATTCAGAATCTATCAAAAGACTAAACGGTACTAATACCTTACCATGATATGACCTAATGGTAATATCAAATTTAATAATAATAATAATAGCAATAATAATAATAATAATTACCTATAATAAATCTTACTCAAATAATACCAATATTATAATAGTAATATAATTGTTAAAAGCTTTAGCCTGAGTACAAATGCAAAGAGTTAAAATAAATAAATACCTTAATACCGAGATGGTACACTGAGTTTCAGAAACAATAAAATACATGTCATTCAGTGTATATGGTGAATGCGACAACATAAAGATTGGAACTCAGTGTATTCGCGATCCCAAGATATTAAACCAAAATAATGAAATAGTGATAAAAATTATTACCAAAAATCACTCGCTATTTACACATAATAAAATGATTAGGACCCAATAAACTAGCAATGATAAACGTCATAGACCAAAATGCGAATTAAATAATATTGTTCAAAATTATAAGCAAAAACGTATTAAGAAAACCCAAACGAGGAGTTGTTATTACTAGCAAATATTACAATTTATAAAAGTGTACGTAGCAGAAAATCGGTAACAATATATTATAATATGTATATCACAAACGTTTTAGGATGCGTATGGGATGAAAGTCTACACTCTTCTGCCTCTTTCTTCCCTAATTGTATATTTTAAAAATCTCGGACACTTCAAGTAGGAATGCGAGACATAAACAATTTTCCCTAATATTTCTAGGTTCAGATACAAAGAATTGAAATTTTAAAACTCAATAGGTTTTTAAAACATAAAATAACTTAAACTATAATATTATTTTTAGTGGATTATTTAAAATTTCCTTTCTTAAAATAGCGCCAAATTTGAATTTAAAAGTGTATGTACCACAGGACCCTTACAGTGTTTAATAATGCTTTAATTTATATTAAAGTATTAACTTGTTAATTGTTAATTTTTTTATATTAGCACCGCTGAATTTGCTCTTATTGTTGTTTATTATCAACCTCTTCAAATGAAGATACTACCTTAAAGTCAACCTTCTGTTCAGATATAAAAACACAAACCCATGAAAAACACCTAAGAAAATGGGTTAACTTAATTTCAAGAAAATGTGAGACATTGTTTGTGAATGCCAGCTCTTCTCAAATTAATAAAATTAATCATATGTGAAAAATGGGTCAACATTAGCTCTATCTGTCTGAGCAATCAAAGAAAAATGTTTTTGGTGGTAGTACAAAGGGCCAACTGTGGCCTAAGTGCATGCAACCACGACGTGGCTGCCTCCACACAGCAAATCCATCCATCCATCCAAATCCAATTGGTTTGGTAATTTTAACGAAATTATATTTATTATACAGGTTTATATGATTTATCTCATTTTACTTTTTTTTAAAGGTTTTTGTCAGTGTGTATTATATTTAATCGGTAAACAAATGTTTCATCATTTACAGTACACTAACTTGTTAAGTACCTACTATACTTTAATTGCATTTAAAATTATCATTTATAATAAATATTTTCATTAGCGATGGGACCATTCAAATACAAATTTAATTCCAGTAAGAATTCGAAAGTATTTGATTCTTATTACGCAACTGAGCAGCTTGTTGCGAATGCCACGATAATTCAATTCAAATGCATGGGAATATTTGCATATTAAGTTACACAAAGAGACGGTGAGTTGACTAAATATTAAGTTATGTTTTTAATTTGTATTTATTTTCTAATTTCAAAGTGACATGTGAAGTGACTTTTTATTATAACCCTAGGATTATAACCTGTTTCATAATAGTTATTTATGTATTAAGGGCATAATAAGATTTTTATGGTACGAGGCGCTATTTCGAGCCCGAGCGCTTTAGCGCGAGGGCTAGAAAAGCGTCGTAGGACCATAAAAACCAGTTATGCCAGCAATGCATACAAAACTTTATGCACGATTAATATATTATTATTTTTAATATATTATTGTTTTTAAAGACGTTTACGTCAAAGAATTTTTGTTATAATTGTAATATTATAATTTCAACTGACATTAGTCAGTTTTAAAGTTTAAAGATGAATGAAATTGAGGAAGCAGCTGAAAAGGCGAAAATTTGCGGCCTGCTGCCGGAAAATCAAAATCTTTATACGAAAAAACTTACTTCGAATATATCAAATGGTGTAACATTGTTGTTTTTAATTTTTGACGTTTCATTATAGCCCGCTGGGTCATAATAACGCCCGCGGGCTATAAAAAGACGTTTACGTCAAAGAATTTTTGTTATAATTGTCATATTATAATGTCATCGTGCATAAAAGTATTCTTAAAACTATAAAATGAAGTTGAAAAAAACGGCCACTTGACATTTTTGTGTAAAAAATTCATCTACAATTTATTACTTAAACATTTAAAATATATTAATAAAAATAACTCCCTAAAAATTTTAGCCTTTATATAATTTTTGCAACTAGAAAAATTTAGGCCTTATTTTCCAATATTATAATTATACATTCTACCATTATTAAAAAAAAAATAGTATCATGTTTTTGGCACCGTATTACTCCTTGCTTGTTTTTGCCTATTCTTATATTGTTTCTAAAAATCGTAATTCTTCTTTTTAACAATTAATATAAGAACCATTTATTTGTTTTCCTAAAAAAATATATATATTCGAATATATGAAATAATTTAAAAAAAAAAACGAATACATGATTATCGTTGCTTAAAATCTTGGTGGAGGGTTTAAAAAGCTTTTGTGTCCGCAGCCTGCGGACCGCAGATAATCATTACTGACATTTTTTTCTAGGCTGGGGTAGATTAGGTTATGTCACCCCTTTAAACAATTATATTAATAATAAAGTTTACTAAGACTAGATTGGAATATTTAATTGAGCAATAAACATACATTTTTACATACACTAAATACATATAAATACTAAAATTAAATGTCTTGAGATGTTTTATCCAAACTTATTTCGACCGTTTCTAACGAATTAACTTCAGTTAATGGCGTTGTTTTATTTAACTTTATAGGTATTGGTGGAGGATTATCAATATCTTGAATACTCTCGGTACTTCCTGGATTCTCAGTTTGAAAATTCAGTTTTTCAGCATTATCATATTTTAATAAATTCTTTAAATCTGCTTGTTTTTCTAAAAATTTAAATATTAAACTTAACATAAATAGTACTTACAAGAGTTAACAACCTAAAAAGTTCAACACATAGTTCAAAAATAGTTCATTTACTGTAAAGTGAAATTAAGGAGTTAAACGAGCTACAATAGAAGCGTATTTTTAACTGAGATCTTCGCTCACCTGATATGTAGAACGGTAGATGTCCAGTTCATTTAATTGGAACGCGTTTTATTGCAACGTGAATTAGAGGTTTGTTCTAGGAAGGCAAGTGCTCTCCATTAAAAATATTGTTGATTGGAATCATAAAACAACTTAAAATTTTCATTAAATTATGGATAATATATTAATAAAAGTTTAATTTGATAAAGAGACCCGTCTATTTTAAAAACCTAAACAAACACAGCAATTTCTTCACCGCCTTCACTTTATTACCGACTCGATTTAAACTGATGCCGCGATGCACAGCATCGGGAGCAAAAATCTCAGCTCACTTCAAAGTGAGTGAAGCAAAAACAAAGCACACATTTGCGAATAGTCCCGATCTCAGTCAAAAAGAACGCAGCTAATATAATTCTGTATATTAAACAGTTAAGTTAAGCGTACAAGTACCGTATTTAAAAAACATTTAAGAAAGAAAATAAATTGACAATTATTTTTGTCAAATTAAAATACTTTTTTTAAAAGGATAATTTTATAATATTATGTGATAATAATATAACTTACCTAAGCTATTAATGACTTTAGGTTCATTGTATGGTTTTTCAGCAGTAGCATTTTCTAAAGTAAAATCAAATTTCATATTATCCTTATTAATGGAACTTGTTCTTATTTGTCCTCTTCTCGGAATACTAGGTGGTTGATCATTAAAAAAGTTTACCAATCGTTTATCAGGTGCTAAAATATTTAATTTTAAATAATGTTAAACAAATTTAATATAACAATGTTTACTATGAGATCTTGGTGGTAAAGGAGGAGCCCCATCGGTTGTAAATTCTGACCAAGAATCTCTTAAGGGCGAAGAGGTTTCCGTATAGGTCGTTGATATTAAATGATTTAGTATTTTTGGTGAAGGCGGTTTTTGTAAAGAGTGTTCTCTCGAATGAGTAGGTTTCGGAGGTAGAAATATATCTACAGCATCTCTAAAATAGGATTTATTATTAACATTAGAAAAAACAATAATATATGAATACATTATAATTATATTAAATAACCTGCCAGTTGATACATTTTAAGGTGATTTTCTTTTACAAATTTAATTTTTTTTAATTAAGCTAGAAAGCACTTTTTTAGTATCCTAATTAAAGCTCGACAATTTTATCGATAAGTCGCATTGTCGAAAGCTTTTAAGCCCGGTCTACAATTGTCGCAGAATGTATCTTACGGCTTACGTCTTTCGTCAACCAACCAGAGTGCTTAGTATGTATTTAAAAGATACATTCTGCAAAAATTGTAGACCGGGATTTAATAGTAATATGTAGGGTTACTATTACTATTTTGAAGTTTGCCTTTAAGGTGACAATTAATCAATTTTATCTTTTTACACGTTTAAACATTATTGGACAATTTTAAACATTTTTTTTTAAGTGCTTTAATCATAGAAAAATAAAATTCTAAATTTCTTATCCACAAATTGACATATAATATACCAGAAAGAAAGAAAACAAAATAAAGTAGTCAAATGTATTGTTGCCATACATAACTTGGTAAACTAAACCTAACATAACCACAAATATTATACACAGTCAAAGTGTCTAGGGAACACCCAGAAAAATCGAATTAAATTTAATTAATAAATAATTTAACTTATAAATTATAAAACAACATAACTAAATATAAAAGAACACACTGTATAATACATTTTTTAATGCAAAAAATAAGGTTTTTTACTATTTATCGTATTTCTGGGTACCCTTAAATTTAAACGGTGCAATTTAGTATATCTTGTGTTATTGACCCAATATTTATCAAATTTTTATAAAAATACTTTTATTATTATGGAAAGGCACCATCTAAGCGACGAACAAAACTTAAGATCAATTGGTATGATAGAGGGTGGTTTATCACAACGTGAAGTGGCTCGTCAAATGGACACATCTGTGAGTGTTATAAGCGGATTGTGAAGACGTTACAATGAGTATAATGACGTAAAAGAAAGACATCAAGGCCTCAGTTGGATAACTACCCCGGTACACGACCGCTTTTTGCTTTTGCAAGCTCGGAGACACCCGGAAATAACAGTTCCCGAGCTAAGACAAGAGCTTCTTAGGACCCACGATTTGATTGTGTCAGCTCAAACCGTCAGAAACCGTGTCCGAGGGCAAGGTCTATTTCAGAGACGACCTTTAAGTGTACCCCGATTGCTCCCTGGAAATCGCGCTGCTCGTTTAGCTTGGGCACAAGAACATCTTAATTAGGGTCCTGATAATCGGAGCCATATTCTATTTTCTGATGAGTCAAGATTTTGCTACCACTCAGATTCTGGAAGGATACGTATCTGGAGAGAACCTGGAAACCAAGCATGGCTTGGCTCGTGAGGTGGTGAATTTTGGAGAAGGTTCATTGATGTTTTGGGAAGGAATTAATACTGGCGGAAGAACCGAGCTCTTTTTAATGGAAACAACTTTGAATGCAGTTCGATATTGCAAAAACATGGTTTTACCTATTGTGTTACCCTATTTAACCAATATGGGACCAAATTCCATGTTCCAGCAGGATAACGCTAGGCCACATACTGCGAGGATCGTTCGAGCAGCATTCGAAGAGAATGATATAAGCGTTTTACCTTGGCCAGCAAACTCCCCAGACCTTAATCCAATGGAAAAAGTATGGGATGCTATGAAAAGAAGAATTTTGAATCCCCAAAACCATTATGGACCAGCAGAAGCTAATTCTGGCGGTACAGGAGGTGTGGCGAAATCGGGACCAAAACCTACTCGATGGGCTGAAATGCCAAATCGATGTAGGGCGGTCGTAAACAACCGAGGAGGTCCGTCTGGATATTAGTTTTTAATAAAAAAAATAAATGTGGCATAATTATTATAAATAACATATTAATAAATATTTGGATATTTCGTGGGTGTTATTATTTTAATTTTTGAAGGGGTTGGGACATCATTTTGCAATATATTTTTTATTTAATTAGTTAAAAACACTTGTTTTTATTAATTCATTATATTTTCACATTATTTATTTTGGTTTTACTGCAATAATTTAAAAATATTTAGGTGTTCCCCAGACACTTTGACAGTGTATATTTTAGTTAAAATCTAAATGCCCAAAATCCAATATGGGACTTGACAAACAAAAATCAAAACAAAATAATTGTTCAACACAACCTAAACGAACTAACTAAAGGAAGGTTTTCTGACAAAACTAACCCCTACCCCCATTTTAAGCGTACCAGACGTCATTCTACCCCAGAAGTCACACGCTTGCCCATATTTCAAACACTATGGAATCCAGGGTCTATCGACCACAAATTATTAACATGAAATCATTTAATTTAATATCTACTCTCAAACAAAACGAACGTTAACATCCTTCTTTAACCCTCTTACATCAAGTCCTTTAAAACCTATGCAGAAATCATAGCGCATATAACCAACGTATGTAACCGACACAGCCATCCCCAAACATAAAAAAGAAAAAAAAACATGCCATATTATTTTTCTTGATCTATCGCATGTTCATTTACCTTCTTAAAACCCAATTTAGTCTGGACTATTTCCTTTTCCCCAAAGCTAAGATAGTAACACTCTGCAGAAAAAAGCACGCGTGGGCGGACGTAGATTCCGGATAAAATATAAGTCAAAACCGGACGAAAGCAGATGAAAATCTGATCTGCCTATACCTGCGTTATGGCCGCTTTTCTATATCCGCGAACGTTCGGTTTTACCTGTTTTTCGTTCGGTTAGTGCAATCATCCGGTTTTGCCTGGCTGTACTACAAACATCAAAGTCTCACCACGTGACTACGTACGGAACGCAATCTTTTGAAAATTTGGCATTTAAGGCATTTCAGGTCATGCATCTGTAAAAGTATAGTAAACGAAAGAAATCATATTTTTACCGCTTATGTTTAAGTGTTAAAAATTAATAAATCTGTATAGTATCACAATAACAATGGTTCGTTTAGGAATTTAAGAATATAAATACTGCATTTCTGAAATTCTAAAGTGTATGATGCCAAATGGTGCCATTTTTGTGCATTTGGTCTACTTTTATTAAAAAAATCTAGCTTCTTTATTATGGAATATCTTTATTAAATAATATTTGTAAGAGTGTTAATGTGGTCATATCAATATAGGTATACTAAACAATTGTTGTATATGGTACAAATTAAATTGAAGCTTTCAATTCACTTCTAAAGACAAAAATTATGCTCATCTACAGTCGTATGCAAATAAAAAGCATACAGCCTTAGAATGAGAGGTACTGCGCTTGTCTAATATGGCGAGTTAAGTTATAAAAAATTCAGTGCCGTAGATGTAAACCAGCCGTCAGTTAACTGTACTTTAAGTTAGATTATAAGAAAACAAACAATTTTTTAGAGAAACGTGCATTGTGAAAATATTTATTACTCCCAAAACATGTGATTTATTAAAAATTTTAATGATTTTTGGATGTAGATCCAATTCAGTCAAAGCTATGTGGGATTTATTTAAATTTTAAAAGTTATAATGATGGTTCTATGTAGATCAAATTCCGTCTAAGCTTTTATAGGTATTGTATTGACAGTGGGTATATTAGCTGACAGTGGAAACTGTAAGAAACTTTAAGAATCTAAACTATTGAATTTTCAAATCCATAGGTAAAACATAATTTACAGTTTAACTTACACTTAAAGAAGGTATGCATACGTTTTGTCATTAGAAGAATAAACGTTTCAATTTAATTTAAGGCGACTAAGCGTTCTGATTTAATTAGAACTATACTGTTTTTGAGGCCTTCATTCTGACAAGAAATGGAAGGTAGTAAAGGTTCTGATTTAACTATTTTGATACTTAGTCTAGTCTAGTCTAGTCTAGTCTGTTCTGATTTAGTTAACAATATAAAATTTTGCCATGTTCATATTATTATAGGTAAATTGTAACCTCAACTCGAGGGCTATGGCTAACGGCAGCTTTACACTGGTGAGATGGGTCGATGGGCTAATGTTGTTCCTCAATACTTACGTGCATAATTCCAAAAAAAAACAAGAAAATAAAATGGGCGCCAGTGTCTCATTTGGGCCAGTTGGTAAAGTCCCCATAAGCCAGACACAAACTTAATGGGCATAAGGGCAATTAAAAAAAAGTCAAGTTTAAAAAATATTAAGTATAATAAAATTTGGTTATCACCGTTGTTAAAGTGATTTCATTTGAAAATGATTATGATTATTAGGACATTTAATTATGTTATTGGTGCACCCTTATATGGCCATATATGGTTTACAAAGAACCAAATTCGATATGACTAAATTTAACATGAGCAAAATTTTACTGGTAATATAAATAGAAATTTGAGTTACGATAAATAAAGGTTGAAGACCAAGTTAAAATTTCCTTAATTCAAAAATACACAAAAGTTTAACGGCGTGTAGTATACAGAGTTTCTTAAAACATTTCTATAACTAAAAAGTGGGTACGACCTGATTAGCTTGAGCTGGAGATCCTGGAGAATTAGGAATCCTACGTAGTGGTTCTCCGGTTGACTCAAAAGTTGGTTTTGACGCCAAAACAGTCATGGTAAACTCCCATAAAAACTGGTTGAAGGAATTTTCCCGATGTAAAATAGTACAGGAAGGACTTTAACATCGTTACTTAAAATCTGTACTTAAAATCCGTACTTAAAATCCGTACTTAAAAACCCTAAATTTACATAATGATGCCTCAGCATTCAGCAACTACAGTCTTCCAGACTTACCCTTGTTCTAAGGAGTTTTTTTAACCAATAACGTCACGACCGCATGGAGACTAGGTCAACAAAAAATATATTGGATTCAACAACCACCTAAAATGGAGAACCGCGTGGGTAAAAAAATAGGTTCAGCAACAAGTAACACACCCTGAGCTCATCGTACCACACGAAAAGTGTCTTGGTCGGAATTATACAATTAGATTGAGAGATTTACAACGTACTTTTGGAAATTTTCCATAATT